GACCTCGTGAGGCATAGGCGCATACATCTTGGTGCGTGTAGATTCACCTGTCATTTGTGCAGAAAGACATTTTCGAGAAGAGATAGTCTGAAATGCCACGCTATGGTACATCCGTGTAGAATAAAGGGTTCCCCGTCACTCTCTCATGGTAGTGATTACACAGCCAAAACAATTCTCAGAGTATACGCTGAGCTTAGCCAGGAGCCACTTGTCAAAAGCATTTTGAAGAGAGCACGGGGTAACTTTGCTGCCTGTGAAAGAGCACCCATCGAAACAGAAAAAAGGATTGCAAGAAGTACCCTTGCTTCCGCCTGCCAGCTTTCTTCTCAGGCAAATGCAAAGACTACTAATACCGCCAGTTTCAACTTCAGAAGCCGCAGACCCCAAACACCAAAAGTAAAAAGGAATAGCGAAGTTATTTCACATCAGGTATTCGCCAAAATTAAAGTAGTTTGTCCTAGTGCTAAGCGGAATATCCGAACCACAAAAAGTTCCCTCCAAGGATACGTAAAGAACAGCTCCATGCACAGAGAGTCAGCTGATCGCGCAACCACGGCTGCGTCACACAAAGAATCTACAGCACCGTTGACGACTGCGAACCGAGAAATAAACAAGATGAAAGGTACAGGGATACAAGGCCCTCTCAGCCGTCCTTTACAGATGCCATACGTGAGACTAATCCGACATTCTTTCTCTTCACCGGAAGAGATTCGCGACTTCGTAAAGCGCGAATGTGCCTTAGGAAAGGGCAGTTCCTTCCACAGGGAAACTACGCCATTATCGACGCCTCTGGACCAAGACACAAGCGAGACCGGAGTTAAAAAGAAATGTTCTCTTAGCCGTCCAATACAACAGCCGTTCGTAAGACTCATTCGACATTCTTTCTCTTCACCGGAAGAGATTCGCGACTTCGTAAAGCGCGAATGTGCCTTAGCGAAGAACAGTTCATGACCTGAAAACTCTTCAGCAAGAAGCTTTTGGACATAACTACTGAGGCTGAGAAGGAAATACATGAATAGCTATCTTAGAAGATAGAATATGATAATTATCTAATGAAAATATGAATAAATTCACCAATATTTTTTGTTTTAGCATTAGCATTATGAGTCTTCATAGTGTGGAGTGTATTATATGCATGCCGGTAGGGAAGACTAGAGAACTGTAAAGAGTGATTTATACAATTTATACAAAAGTACTTTTTTCTAAATCTTTATATAAAAAAAAATATGTAGTGTTGTTGTCAGGCAAATAAGATGAACAGACTAATTTCCGGATTCTAAAAAAAAAAAAAAAAAACGCGGCACAAGTTCAAATGCCATATAAGCTGTTATGTATCTTTTACCCTAAGGAAAAAAAAAATGTATTTTATTTTACTTTTTTTCAGAAATAATTGAAAGTAAGTATAGTTTCACTGCTTAGTTCTCCATTTTTGTACTTAATATTTTTTTTCCTCCAACATGAATTTATTACAATGCTAATGTTTCCTAGGTCTATTTTTATTGCCGTGTTTTTGTTGATAAGAAACAATCTATAGAGAAAATTCATGATAATACTAAACCAAACAATATGACGTTCAGCGCTAGATATAAGAATTATATTTCATCTTTAAGATATTGCAACGAATGATTATTTTCATTGGTCTGTTCATTTTGACTTTGTATATTTGTGTTACATTAATTATACAAACATTTAATTTTAATTTTTTTCTTCTTAAATTTGTGTTCCTTGAATTATATAAGAATAAAAAAAAATCCTTTTTTCCACAAATATAATTCATTTTCTCTAATTTCATTGAGTTTGATTTCCTTATTTGCCAACGTTCTTCATAACGTTAGAGCTCTGTTGACATGATGGATACTATATATTTTTTTCTCTCTCTCTCTTTCAAAGCATGATACAGTAAAACAGTTGTAGTATATATATATATATATATATATATATATATATATATATATATATATATTTTTTTTTTTTTTTTTTTTTTTTTTTTTTTTTTTTTGTTTGTTTTTTGTTTTTTTGTTTTTTTGAGTGCATGTGTGAATATGTGCATACACGCTCATACGAACACGGACATATAAACACATACAAGTGCGTGTGTGTGTTCTTACAATAATTTTTGGGGATCAGTTTACCGGATTACATAATGTGTATGATATGGAATCTCCACTGTTAACTATTTAGTGATTTACTCTCCGCATTCCAATGAACAATTATTCGGAAAGAACCTGATTTTAAAAGGGAATCATCTCCATATAAATCTGATCTAGCACGAACATTTACATATAGAACTCGCTCACAGCCATAGACACACATGCATTATATTCTCCTAGGTAGTATTAACGTCCCAAAGTAAATCCAAAAATACATTCAGAAATCTTTTGAAGCAGGTGTCGATTTCCATCTTGAACACGTAAATGATATCACCGTGTTGTTGTTGTTTTTAGGTTATAAGTGTTTCGGAGCCTCATTCACGACGCGTAAACTATTTATTCAGTAGAGT